AGAGTGTGCGTTTATATCATGTCGGAGAAGTTGGAGTTTTAGGAATTATAATGAGATATGGAAATAACGGAATATTTAATAAATAATCTATTAACAGTTTAATAATATGCACGTATTTCGCAATAATAATTCTTTGCATTTTCCTTATCATTAAAAATAGATTTGACTTTGTCGCGGACAGAGAACATCGTAATAGTAGCGCTGTGCGTAACGACGCGTATATACTCAAATTACCAATTCAAGTACTAGTGCACAAGTACATACGAAGATGACTCTACATCAAGCGGCATAATGTCTCGCTATGAGAGGCCCGCGAGACATTCTCCGGCTGTCAATGCCAGAAACGGAGCTTTCTTACCGACTCGAAAGCGTTCACGACGCCGGCAATTTATTACGTTTTTCATCAACTAGGCATTAGGAGACAAGAGGAAGAGACAGACGCATTGATCGAAATTCTGGCTTACATACATATTTCAACGGAGCATTTATCTCCCGCTGTACGAGATTCAAACATTTCGACAGCCCCAATGGCATTCTCGTCCGTGGACGCTATAGAAATACGAATAATTCATAGGCGGGCCGGCTCTTCGCTAATTAATTGCGTTTGCCAATGAAGGCAGGGCGGTTTAAAACTTCCTTCATAATTCAGGACCATAATCGGTTATCGCGGTCGTTGCAATGCGGCATAGCATGATCGCCGATGAAATCAAAGTTTATAGGCGATTTTACGGCAGTTTACCGATCTGCAAAGGAATTTTGATTTGAAAGATGCTAATTACACAATTATTTTAGGACATTACATTTTAACAACCGAATGATATTTTACTTCCAATTTACTATAAAGTCACGAATTATATCAGCAATATAGAGAGTTAAAGTAATGATAGCATTCCTAATATATATTACAACAAAAACATATTATTCTATATATTCTATTTTCAATTTTATACTTTATGTTTTAAATAACGTTACAAACTTTGCCTAAATAAATAAATTATAATCATTAAACGATTCTAAAGATAAATCTGCTAAAATCTTTATAATGCAAGAAATAATTTTCTTATTTCAAAATCTGATAATTCATAAATAGCACGCGAGATTGTAATTTTTCATAAGGGAGGTCGCGCCCATGGAATTATCTATGTGCATCATCAATGCACCGACCGACCATTCGTGCATTCTCACAGTTTGTAAGGTTGTTGTGAGACCAATGACTGTCTGAAAAGTTATTTTTAGATCGCG